TGAGACCAGTGGTCAGAGCACTCGTATGTGTGACAGACTGTACACCCGTTTGCCATAAAAAGGTATTAAATCTACACTTTATTTACTGTTATTATGACAACAATTCAATGCTATTTCAATGCTATTCGCGTTTTATAGCCATTTTAGACCAAACACTCTGACTATAAGCAAAAAGGGCACAACAGTCGCGCCGCAAACGCTGTACAGTTACGCCCTTTTGCCACTAATTCATTACGTAATCAAAATGACTGCTTTTGCATTGAATCGAGAAAAACATAAACACTTTTGACATTAAATATGATATTATTTTCAATCACTAATTGTTTGTTGTTTTGTATTTAATTGTTTGATTAGTTTTGTTGACACTTATTGAGTGTTTTTGTGATAAACCGTTTCACTCGTGAGAGAGAAGAGAGACAACCGTTTGAATCCATAGTAACCCAAAAGCCAATACTTTTTTGTCACTCAAAACTAACTGTCGTTTGGTTTTGGTGTCAACTGTTTTGGTCGTAAAGAAAGGTATCGCGAGTTGTCGTCAACTTCTTCTTCTTCTTAAGCTCTTCTTCTGTGATACAAACACTTATCTCAAGAAACTATTGAACAAAGAAATGGTTGATTACTATAAAGTGCTGGAAATTCCCAGAAATGCCTCAACAAATGATATTAAAAAAGCGTTAGTATTTTGTTGTCAACTAATTGTTAATTTTGAACTAAATGTCTGTCTTGTATTATGAATGGATGTGTTGACAGATATCGTAAGTTGGCGTTGAAATGGCATCCGGACAAGAATCCCGACCGCAAAGAAGATGCCGAACGACACTTCAAAGATATATCCGAAGCCTATGAAGTGCTTTCCGATGGTATGTGTGGTAACCACTCATGAGTAGTGGTGTTGTCTTTTGTTTTGCTTAGCAGTGCTTTAATCCATGGATTGTTTGGTATTGTTTAGAAAAGAAACGTATAGTTTATGATAAGTACGGAAAGGAAGGTCTCATAAACAATGGCAGTTCGGGTCACCATCACTACCACACCAATCATGACATGTATGCCAACGGTTTCCCCGGCGCTCATCCATTCAACGCGTTCTTCACCTTTCGAGACCCCGAAGACGTGTTTCGGGACTTTTTCGGTGCGGATCCGTTCGGTGATATGTTTGGCCGAAGTTCGGCGCATCCGACCAACACGTCGGCTATGAATAGACAAAACAATATGACGTTTGCGTTCAACCCATTCGCCCAATTCGGACAATTTGATCACTTCAATGACCACCTCTGGGGCGACAGTGCGTCCACTTTTACCACATTCAGNCTTTATCTAAAGAATTCATAGAATATTCTTGGAGTATAAAAATTAATAATAAGTTGTTTACATATTTTTCAATATTTAAATTAAATTACTGTATAGTATACATGTTTGTCTGGAGTGTAGTTTTAATATGAAAGTGAATGAGAGTGAATAATTTTCCAAATTAACACAAATTTTTAACACAACAAAATGAAAACAACAAGAATTCACAGAATATATAACAGAATAACAAAAATATAAATCAATTAATCGTTTATATCGTGTGTAACAAAAACTTTTTAATCGTAAACAACTATTTCAATGTGACATTCAATCCATTAATAGCCACACCTAAGTTATACTAAGCAAAGCCGATAGAAAAAATGAACAAACAATTTATTATCAACACAATTGTTACGTACGGCTAAAGTAATGCAAAAGTACAGTATAACTCATTTACCACTTAAAATAATTGCGACAATTGTTTGCCTAACTGTGAGAGTAAAAAAGTGATGAAAAAAGTATTGTCCCGTTTTTATGGCTATTTTTCCATTGCATACAAACACAAAACAGTCAAACATTTTCCTCCTTTTGCTATTCATTACATCAAAAGCTTATATTATTATAGGTTTTGGTCTTTTGCAGTGATTTCTCAAATAGTTAATGATATCCAAAAGGATTGAATCAAATCCCTTGAAGTCGTTACTTTCAATGCAAAGTTTTTTTATGTTGTTTACTGTGATTTTTTTCAATGCACTTTATTTTTGAGTATTAAAATAATTTTATAAGAAAGTTGGAGAGAGAGAGAGAGAGAGAGAGAGAGTTTGTATAATACAGTTATTTATAAACACCATTTATCATAAAAATAGTAATTTATGAGAAAACAGTACAATTATTGTTATTAATATTGAAACTCGATAAATGTATAATAAGTATGAGAATTGCATTTAATTTATTTATAACCATACAAATATTGTATTTAAATGTGTTATATTATGGGTATTTTTAGTTTCACAGTTGGCGGCAACTAACGTTGTATTAATAATAATCACCCAAACTGTTAGGTAATTATTGTAATTCAAGAATAATTATTAAGCAACTATATGATGTATTGTACAGTGAACACAATTGATTATAAAATGTTCATGGTCAAATTTATTTTACAAACCTTATTGAAATTGATTTAGAAACCTCTTTTAACAAATCCAATACAATTCATGTTTAGTTATATTATATGGAAATTCAATTCATCTAAAAATAATAATGTGTTCAGTTTTAGTTTAGGCTTTTTAGACCCATATAGTTATTGTGAAAAAGTTATCTATTTGATCAAGCTTAATTTGTGAAAGGTTGTGCTTAATATTGAGACGCTCATCAACTCTATTAGACAGTTGTATTCAATTTGAGAGAGAAAGAGAGAGAGAGAGAGAGAGAGAGAGAGAGAGATGAGTATAAAGTGGATTGTTTTGAGATGAATGGCCGAGTGGTTGGAGTGAATGTCGGGTGCATTGGTTGTACGCCTAGCCCTACGGGTGATCACCTCCTCATCAGCACTAGTAATACATCTCAAAACATAAAAAATAACGTTTAATAAGAGAAATAAAATTCACGATAAATTAGTTATAGACTTGTAATCGCATTAATAGTAGAGTAGAAAGAGTTTGCAAAGTATTGTAATGATCTCAACAACGGTTCAATCAACTGAACCGCACATATGCTGGCAAACGGGTGGAGACACTGAACAGAGACTGTCATGTGTTGGTCACACCTGTGGCCACACCTCCGGAGCCACTGTTGACACCCCTTTTGGGAGAGAGAGTGAGTGCGCAGAGAGTATGCGAGAGTCGGACCACTGATTGTTTGTGTGAGACATACACTCAATATGTGTTCACGTCTTTGGTTTGCAAACCAATTGTCAGTCTATTATTGTCCGCAAAACACAACTCAAAACATAACTGTGTTTTTTGGTTGAGTTTTGCCCACACTTTGACTCAAGTGTGACCAGCGGTGAGACCAGTGGTCAGAGCACTCGTATGTGTGACAGACTGTACACCCGTTTGCCATAAAAAGGTATTAAATCTACACTTTATTTACTGTTATTATGACAACAATTCAATGCTATTTCAATGCTATTC